CCCCAAAAAAAAAACAATGTTGTACGTTTTATCCCTATTCTACGAATGCAATCAACAATGAGGGGGTTTTCTAAATTTACGATAATATTACGACACTTTGTCAAATAATTGGAAGGGTCGCAGATGTTTTGTCCAGGATTGTAGCCCATTTTAATTCGGGGGGTGTATGTCTGCAAGAATTGCACTACCAAACCCACGATACCCTGCAGGAGAATATATATATATATATATATATATATATATATATATATATATATATATATATATATATATATATATATATATATATATATATATATATATATAGTTTTTCGTTTTACCTCAAAAAACCACAACAGTCTGTTTCATCCGTATAGGAATCATCTATATGGTATTGAGCACTGTTTGTGTTTCGTGAACCAAAATCTTAAGCTATATATATATATATATATATATATATATATATATATATATATATATATATATATATATATATATATATATATATATATATATATATATATATATATATAACTACAGACGGTACCGTTTCGGCCTTTTGGGCCTCATCATTGTAGTGCTGATGAGCAGGATGAAAGTAACCACTTAATAAATAGTTACCTTTGATGTCTCACGAATGTGGGACATCAAACCATTGCCAGAGTGCTCAAACTGCAAGCAGTGAGCATGCGCACAATGCGTAAGCAGCAATGGCTCATCCTGTAGAGTGCTCAATATGACACAAAGGCCATAGAGCAATATCTAACTACAGACGGTACCGTTTCGGCCTTTTGGGCCTCATCATTACATATATATATATATATATATATATATATATATATATATATATATATATATATATATATATATATATATATATATATATATATATATATATATCAGTGTAGTGCTGATGAGCAGGATGAAAGTAACTGCTATTTACATATATAGACCGTATAGACTCTTTGTGCAATATACAACAACTAATTTTTTTAGCCGCAATCGCACGTACCAAGTTTCACAATTCCGTTTTTGAAAAGTTCCACAATTTCACAAGTTTAGGTTCACAATATTTGCGTGCAGGAATGCGACATCTCTAGTTTTGGCGTGCAAGAATGCAAGTGCGGATGTTTTGAATTAAGTAAATTACAGTAATTTTACACATGAGAGTTTCCTACAAAAAATATACGCAAACGTACTCCTGCTAAATATTCTAAGGTATTCAACGAAGATTCGAGATATTTGTACTGTTACGAGGCGATGGGG